ATTTGTTGTTTCCATGTAAGTTAGTAAGCCAATAGTTGTTGTCTTGTATGACAATTCTAGCTGAATAAGACCTCTTCCACCTTCTTTACGGGGTATGTATAGACGGTCTACATCAGCCTTTGGATGATGCATCTTATACTTAGAAAGAAGCTTTCTTGTTTTAGAATCCATTTGTCTGATGTCATTTAGAGTCCAGTTCAAGATGTTGAAACTATATTGGACCACTGGGATGGCAAGGTTATTAATGGCCATAATTCTGTTCTGAGAATTCAATTCAGTTTTTAATACCAGTCGTACCCTTCTATAGTACTCTTTACGCACTATTTCTTTCATTTTCTTATGGTGAATTCCTTCACTCTCATTTACACCTAGGTACTTATAAGCTTCTCCTTGTTCTAAATCTTTTATTGTTACAGCAGGGTCTAAACTAATAGAGGAAGTTTGTTGTAGCGATCCTCGTAAAACTGTAGCTTTAGCACATTTATCCAAATTGAATTTCATTCCAATGTCTTCACTGAAGCATTTTACAGTTTGCAGAAGACCTTCCAGCTCATTGTCATTCCTAGCATACAATTTTAAGTCATCCATGTAAAATAGATGGTTTATTTTCTTTTGAGCTATTTTGTAACCGCATTCTGTCTTGTTAAGTTGGCTGGTTAATGCTATAAGTGATATGCAAAATAATAAAGGAGACAAAGAGTCACCTTGAAATATTCCTCTATTGATGTTTATTTCGCCAGACTTATAGGTTCCATTTTATGATTGAGGTAAAGTGTAGTTTTCCATATCGACATACATTGTTTGATGAAATTGATGATAACGGGTGATACCTTGTACATACTTAAAGACTTTAAGATCCAGGAATGTGGTACACTATCGAATGCTTTACGATAATCTATCCAGGCAATACTAAGATTTTTTTTTCCACGGAAGCAGTTTTCCAGGATCATCCTATTAATAAGTAATTGGTCTTTACATCCGTAGCAGCCTCGTTTGCACCTTTTTTGTTCAAGTGGTAGTATGTCATTTCTTTCCAAGAAGAAATATGTCTGTTTTGTTAAAATAGATGTTAACAGTTTGTATGTTGTTGGAAGACATGTAATTGGTCTATAGTTTTTTCGGAATATTTGTGTCACTATTTTTGGGTAGAAGAAAGGTAACTCCTTTGGTCATCCATGCAGGAATTTTAGTTGGATCGGTAACCATTTCTTGAAGTTCTTTGGCGAGTTTTTTGTGTGCTGTATTTAAATAATATAGCCAGAAGTTAGAATTTTATCTATTCCTGAGATTTCCAGTTGTGTGCTTTTTTCAGTGCACATTTAACATCTTCTTCTGTGATTCCCGCCCATGTCTGTTCTGGTTTATTTTTCATTCGTTCTAACTCTTGCGCAATCCAATCTGCCTCTTCGTTGTGTTCTTTAGGGCAAGCCCATATTTTCCCCAGAACTGTATAACTTCTTCCATTTTAGGGGGACTGTCACTTCAATTCTTTGTTTACCTATTTCCTGTAAAATTTCTTTGCATCGGTTTGAAAGATCTTGTTCTGTCTATAGAATCTTGATCTTTTCTCGTAGCGTCTTATTCTTTGAGCCTTCAGTTGTATTGTTTGCTTTATTTTTTCTTTAGTTGATAGGACTTCATTTTCATTCCTGATATTGTATTTTCTTTCGACTCTTCTGCCTTTTCTAGTTCTTACATTTACTCCTCTTGCTAGTTCATCGAGTACTGATAATTCACTTCTAAGGTGTTCAATTTCTTTTTCTATTTTTTTCTTTTCCAAGGTGGATCTTCATGTCTGTGAGACTGCCTTTTTTTTTTTACTTTGATGTTCAGTTTATTTGTTGCTGCTATTGCTGATGCATATATTGCTTCATTGAGATTTATATGAGTGTCTTCTTCATCCAGAATCAATTTGAGTGCTGCATTATAGAGCTTAATAGTTTTGAGGTTATGCTTTGTTGGTTGTAATTTTGGGAGTTGTTCTCGTTCCTCCATTGCAATATTCTGTATCTGACTTATATGGCTCATGATTTCATCCTTGGCTTCCATGTATATTAATCTTGTTTTCTGAAATAATTCTGTTCGATGAATTTTGAACTCGTTTTATTACCGTCTTGTGACTGACTAAGATCATACCTTTCCAACATTTCTAAATTTTCAGCATTATCTTCACAGTGATTTGTGTGTATTTCGGTTTTTTCATTATGACCTGAGGCTTGTGTGATGTTATTACTTTTTTTTCCCGATTATTATTATTATTATTATTATTATTATTATTATGTTATTACTTTTATTATGTTATTATTATTACTTTTATTATGTTATTATTATTACTTTTATTATGTTATTATTATTACTTTATTATTATTTTAATGATCCATTGAAAGGGGTTCTAGATTAAACTTAATATGACTTTTTAAAGTGATGAAATGAAAAATTACTTAATAATGAAAAAAGTTGTATATTTTAAACCCTCAGTAAAATGAAACTAAAATACGCTCACATATACACTTAGATAGATAGATAGATAAATAGATAGATAGATAGATAGATAGATAGATAGATAGATAGATAGATAGATAGATTGATGTGGTGAAAAGTTTCCCGCCCGGCCAAGAAGAAGCTCTTGTTTCACAAAAATTTGTTTATTCTATTAAATTTTAACAGCCCTCACGTATGTATGTAAGTATACGTATATATATATATATATATATATATGTGTGTGTGTGTGTGTGTGTGTGTACGCATGTCTGTGTGCGAGTGTCTGTGTGTGTGTTCCTACTATAAGCCCAGGAAAACAGACTGATATACATTATCTTTATTTGACAATATTTGTATCTCTATTATCTATGTACAAATTATGCGTGTGTGTGTGTGTGTGTGCGTGTGTGTGTGTGTGCGTGTGTGTGTTTATGTGTGCGTGTGTGCGTGTGTGTGTGTGTGTGTGTGTAGTTTAATCTCCTTAGCATTCATCACATGTAGGCAATAGTAGAAACCAACAAAACTCTCGCCCTTCTTTTTTGTTTGTTTGTTTTGTTTTGATGGTATTTTTGATAGAAACGCTCGCAAGTTTTTTCGGTTGTTGGACTCGGATAACCAAACTTGAAACACGAATAATAAATAGTGTCTCCATCATCAAGTTTATGGCATTTTACGTTTTCACGTTCTACACAGACAAAAGAATGTTATGCATTTGATAGATCCCAAATTTGCAAACCTGATATTGTTGATACTCAGACACTAAATCGTTCATGTTTGATTCCGCCTCTGTAAACTCCATCTCATCCATTCCTTCTCCTGTATACCAATGAAGGAAAGCCTTTCGCCGGAACATCGCTGCAAAATACAAATTAAAACGTTCATAATAGTGCTATGGTTAAACGCGTGAAGATATCAGTTACAATTTAAATGCTACGTTTTTTTTGAGTAAGTGCAAATTCATGTGTGTGTGTGTGCTTGTGTTTTTTATTAGTAGTATACATGTTTATTGGGTACACGTATTTGAGTAGATATCTCAAGTTTTTTTAAGGTAATACTAAAATTAACGTTTACCGGCCTAGATCACCAAAAAGTGTGTGTGTGTGTGTTATCTGAATGTGTCCACACAGAAATAAATATAATTTCTCTCATAGTCATTCAATCTTGTTAAATTCTACATTTATTACATAAAAAACGTATTGACAATCCTACAATGCTAAAAACTTCTGAAGATCTATGTATAACTGATTTGTTTTTTATTTGGTTATGTTTATTCATATTATAAAATAATAAATCCTACAAAAGTGGGAGATTACTATAAACCTAATGATAATCTCTTAGAATAATTTTACAAATGGAAAAAACAAATATTCGAAAAAGTAGAATAAAGGACTTGTCTTTTGTTTATTTAGGTATACTTGTTACACGCATACATACATACATACATACACACACACATATAGATAGATATTGAATAAATTGAGAGAGATAAATAGATAGATAATGAACACACTTGTATAGATAGATAGATAGATAGATAGATAGATAGATAGATAGATAGATAGATAGATAGATAGATAATGAACAGACTTGGATAGCTAGCTAGCTAGCTAGACAGATAGATAGACAGATAGATAGATAGATAGATAGATAGATAGATAGATAGATAGATAGATAGATAGATAGATAGATAGATAGATAATGAACAGACTTGGATAGCTAGCTAGCTAGCTAGCTAGCTAGCTAGCTAGATAGATAGATAGATAGATAGATAAATCGAGTCAAAAGTATACTTGATATCCTTGTGATATACGTGTCAGAATTCAGGAGATCTACATTATTTATGTTTACATAT